CTCGATGGTACAAAAGGTATCGAGAGATACCGCGCTAAACAGCGTGCCCGTCCAATAAACGGAGATTACCAGAATTCTCCGATCAAACAATCAATATTCCGGAATATAATATTACCCGATTTGATGGACAGCGAGCGGCGGTGGTTCTCCAAGTGGATCAAATTACCCGGTGAATTCACCGAGTAAGCGATAAAAGACAATCAGAAGAGGATCTGCTATGGCTGTAACGTTTGCTTTCTCTCCGGCGTGTAATTACTATTTCCTTTATGCACGTTCAACGAATTCAATTGCAACCTCTGCTCTCTCTCTCTCTCTTTATCTATCTTTTGAGAATACGATGTCCTCGTCAAAAGCTTCCTCTGGATGTCTGTTAAATAGGTTATTCGCGACCGGTGACACATCTCTCTCTACCGATCGCACACCCTTCGAACTAGGTGCCCTTAAAGAAATTCAGGTCACAGTGCACCACTCGCTTCTATCTCGCCTCATTTACGCTGTACACCGTGTCCCGGAAATACGTCCATTAATGTCCGGACCGCGGTTGTCGACGATAGTCCGATGGTAGAGCGGCTAAGTGGCCCGCGATAGGCCCATTACGCGATGCTTTGCTCCAAGAGTACACACAGCGGAGACTGGATGGCTGGACGCGTGTGTGGCTGCTCAGAGCTAAACTGTGTTTATGACGATATAAATGTTCACGGTGACAGAGTACTATTGTACGTTACGAGTCTTCTGTGTTCTGTGCACGGAATATTGTGCGTTATGGAATAAGAAAAGAAGAGGATTTTTTGTTTTTTAGCAGACGAGAATAGAAGTAGCTTCGTGTCTTGAGGTTGTTTGCGGTGAGAAATGGTTGGTTGTTTGTTTATTAAGAGAGTTGTATATAGAGTGAAAAGTGTGTTGGAGTTTTGGTAGAAAGTTTACGAAGGCAGAATAGACGTAACGCTTAAATTGTGGGTGTTAGAATTTTTATCCCGAGGTGCGAGCGTATCGAGTACGCAGTCCTATAGCCTGGATCGAAGTTTTCGATCGTTCAAGGTCACCGAGTAATTTTCTTCTATTAAAACATTTGACTATATCACCGTGCTACTTTCGTTTCGGTAGTGTACCTTGTAAGAGGTTCAAAGAAGAAGGTTTATGAAGGTAGAATAGACGTAATTTTTATTCCGAAGAGCGAGCGTATCGAGTACGCAGACCTATAGCCTGGATCGAAGTTTTCGATCGTTCAAGGTAACCGAATTATTTTCTTCTGCTAAAACATTTGACTACATCACCGAGCTACTTTGGTTTCGATAGTGTACCTTGTAAGAGGTTAGAAAAGGAAGTTTATGAAGTTATAATACACCTAATATCTAATATTGTGGGTGTTAGAATTTTTATTCCGAAGAGCGAGCGTATCGAGTACGCAGACCTATAGCCTGGACCGAAGTTTTCGATCGTCCAAGGTCGCCGAATTATTTTCCTCTACTCAAATATTGAACTATATCACTGTGCTACTTTCGTTTCGGTAGTGTACCTTGTAAGAGGTTGAAAAAGAAAGAGATAAAACCGTAGCAAGACAAATGTATGGATAAAGAGTAAGCAGATTAAACTGTGTCGTGTATACAGCACTCTGTGACGTGGATTCCGGAGCTTAAGCAAGTTTCTCTCTTTTCTTCTCTGCTTTTTCTCTTACTGCAGACTAAAACGTTACACAATGTGAAAAAACAGGTATCGGTGAGTGTAACTATTTTTTAATACAAATATCTCGATTCTCGTATATCCGAAGTGTCTATTATATATTTCTATCCGATAGTTAAATGGATGATCTCGAAAGACTCGAAATATTTCACTCTATCTATAAACTCAAGGAATTCCTCTTTGTTTCTGGTTATACTTTTAGTGCAGAGGAGTTTGTGTAAGAGAAGTGGGCGCATCTGAAACGTTAATGGACGATAATG